CCCACAAGTTTTCTCACTTTTACTCTTCCGATTCTCTCCCCCATCCCACCGGGGGCTGGGGGAGTGAGCGAGCGGCTGGGTGGTGCTCAGTTGCCAACTGAGGTTAAACCACGACACTGTCTCAGAGACAATGTTTGGCCTAAGCTGGTACCTTTTTAGCTTGTACAGGCAGATTTATTTTCATATAACTCAATTGTCCCAATACTCCTGACAATAGGAGGGGGTTTTCCTGAATGCACTTATTTTCTAGTGTGTTTGCACAGAGAAAGAGAAGACAATGATTTAGCATCGATATGCAAAATGCTCAGCAACTGGTAAGCAGCTATATGAAATAACATAGCAGCAGCGACACGTGTCTGAATTAAGAGTAGCTTCTTTGGTGGTGATACTGTTATCCCAGACTGCTGTAGCTGAGGCAGAATATGATCTTTTCAAAGGGTGTTCTCCAGTAAGGACTTTCCAATGCTTGCAATGGTGATGCTTAGGGTGAGCATATGGTCTCCAGTCGCTTTTACGCACTAAGTATGCGTGACTGTTAAACCTTGAGTTAAGATCAAGTCAGAGAACCAACCTCCTCCATTAGAATGGATTCACTGAATTACAGCAGAGACATGTTGGTTCAGCTGGCCTGAAAAGAGATGGAGCTTGCTTTTGCCAACACAATTAGGCTGCATTGCATAGCTACAGCGATTTTCCAGATACTGCATCTGAGTGGTCTTTTGATTTGTGGATGTAACATACACACAGATATGTAGGTGTAAATATCCCTTTTAAAATCATCAGCAAGGAGGACGTGTAATTTCAGTGTCTAAGTAGAAAAAACTCTAAGAAAGGAGCAGGTTCACAGAAGTCTTCTGACTCAAAATCAGGGAAGTCCTACAATAAACTAGGTAAAGAAAGCACTAGAAGAAAACGAAAGATTTATTACTTTGATTTGCTTAGATCTTTGCTGTATATTCTGGCAACTGTTGGCCCTGAATATTAAGAGTATATAGTTATCTTCAGCTTTTGGGGAAGAAAGGAGGAAAGGGAGATGAGAAGGGTTGCTAAATCAGTGAAGGCAGGAAGCTGCAGTCGCAACCCCAGACACATCAATCAGTGGAAGGTGGAGGGAGTTAGACCACATATCAAAATGCTTCCTTATTCAGTTACCTTTTCTCAAAATTACCACAAAAATAATGTGAGCACTTGTTATTAATTTGAGAGTTGTTTAAGGCTGAAACCTAGATGCATGAAGTTGCACAGAGAAAGTATTACAGTAAAGAACAAATCTCACTGCATTCGAAGTTTTCTGCTCAAATAACAGTCTCCCGTCCCTCACTAAGGGTCATCTGTGGATGCAACACATCCAGTGCAATAGGAGAAACTCTTACATCTTGGTCTATAGGGCTTGGAGATATGTGCAATTATGGGACCAATAGAAAAGATAATGACTACCTGTAGATAAGTCCTGTAGGGTCTCTTCAAATCAAACAAATGCAGATTTCCAATGATAGGTAATGCTCTTGGTCCTGGGGGAAAATTCTTTCTCCGGTGGTTATTCCAGAAACCTCCCATTTTCAAAACAGATAGAAAAGTCAGGATGAACACTAAACCAATGGAAGTGCAGCTGCTCCAGTCCATCTCTATTCAGCCAAATATTTGCTACAGAAGAGAAAAGAGAAAATGTGAACTCTGGATCTCTGTCCTCCTGCAAAAATTTCCCGAGAGACGTTTGTACTAGCCCATAGACCTCTTTCCCAGTGAAGGGTATGTTTTTCTTGCGATTGGTGACTGCTTTAGTTGTCTTCCCCTTTGCTTGCTAATGAATCCTCAGTAGAGTACAGACGCAGGTAAATGTTTGCTAGCCAAGCGCGTGTGACTGGGTGAGCGTGTCCAAGCATGAAAGTCCAAGAACATGGAGAACCACAGGTCATCAACCCGGTGTTTGGTATAAAAGTCATAAATTCTGCATGCTCTTCAGTTTACTGATTAGTTATATTTTCATCATTAGTACAGGCACAGCCTTGATACCCTGAGAACTGAAATCAGAATGCCAATGCCCAAGTGATTAGTGAGCAGAGATTTATTTTTTTAAAAATGCTTAGGAATTGGTATAACTTTGCTTCCATTGAATTCACTGGTAATTTCAAATCGCAGAATCACAGAATGGTTGAGTTTGAAAGGATGAGGTTTGAAAGGACCTCTGGAAGTCATCTGGTCCAACCCTCCTGCTCAAGCAGGGCCACCGAGAGCCAGTTGCCCTAGACTATGTCCAGACAGCTTTTGAGTATCTCCAAGGATGGAGACTCCACAAGCTCCCTGGGCAATCTGTGCCAGCGCTCGGTCATTCTCGCAGTAAGAAAGTGTTTCCTGATGTTCAGAGGGAACCTCCTGTGTTTCAGTTTGTGCCCATTGCCTCTGGTCCTGTCACTGGACACCACTGACAAGAGCCTGGCTCTGTCTTCTTTGTACCCTTCCTCCAGGTGTTTATACATACTGATAAGATCCCCCTGAGCCTTTTCTCCTCTAGGCTAAACAGTCCCAGCTCTTTCAGTGTTTCCTCATATAAGAGATGCTCCAGTCCCTTCAGCATCTTGGTGGCCCTTTGCTGGACTTTCTCCAGTATGTCCATATCTCTTTTGTACTGGGGATCCCCGAACTGGACACAGCACTCCAGGTGTGGCCTCACCAGTGCTGAGTCGAGGGGAAGGATCACCTCCCTTGACCTGCTGGCAACACTCCTCCTAATGCAGTCCAGGATACCAGTAGCCTTCTTTGCGGCAATGGCACATTATTGCCTCATGTTCAACTTGGTGTCCACCAGGACCCCCAGGTCTTTTTCTGTCAAACTGCTTTCCAGGTGGGTGGTCCCCAGCATGTACTGGGGGGTTGTTTGCCCGAGGTTGTGTCTCCCCAGGTGCAGGACTTCGCACTTCTCCTTGTTGAACTTCATGAGGTTCCTGTCAGTCCATTTCTCTAGCCTATTGAGGAACCTCTAGATGGTGGCACAACTTTCTGCTGTATCAGTCACCCCTCCCAGTTTGGTGTCATCAGCAAACTTGCTGAGAGTACACTCTGCCCCATCATCTAAATCATTAATGAAGACATTAAACAGGACTGGACCCAGTATTGACCCCTGGAGTACCCTGCTAGTTACTGGCCTCCAGCTGGACTTCACACCACTGATCACTAGCCTCTGGGCCTGGCTTTTCAGCAAGTTTTCAACCCACCTCACTGTCTGCTCATCTAGCCCATACATCAACAACTTGTCTATGAGAATCTTATGGTAGATAGTGTCAAAAGCCTTACTGAAGTCTAAGAAGACTTCTTGTGACTAAGACAACTTGTTTTTGTGACTAAAAAGCTACTGCAGGAGTGTATGAGAAAGATGAGGAGAGGCCTAAGAGGTGCCACAGAAGGACTGGTTTGCTCAGGTCCTGCTGGGAGCACGGCACTGGTTGTCTGTTCCAGGCAAGGGTGCACCCCCCAGAAGCCATTTCAGGTGTGAAAGAAGATCTTTCCAGCTTTGAAGACAACATTGGCAACAGTTTAATTTGAAATGGAGAAGGACTTTTTATTTTTCTGTGTTTTTACCTTTATCATTAATATGCACATTATTCTGTAGTAAACTAAATTAATTTTAACTTCCAGGCAGCATATAACCACATGGCATTACCTGAGAGCCCTCTACGCATCTGCACTGCAGTCCTGCATCAGGTGAACATCTTACGTTTCCTTGTCTTAGGTTGAGCTGTTCAGTTATATTTCTGCGTGCGTGTGTTGTGTATGCATTTAGGGCACTGGTGCAAGGTTAAATAGTGTAATGGACCATTTTCACTAGGCAGTTTGGATGTAGCTGTGCTGGAGGTGTGGAAGGTGAAAGCTCTGGGGTTTTTGTGTGTGCATGTATAGATCAGCGCAGTACCTTTTGAGGTCTGGCCCAGAGACTGGCCCCAGCCTTTTTCATCGAGGATGTGGTGGGTTGACCCTGGCTGGACACCAGGTGCCCACCAAAGCCGCTCTGTCACCCC